TAATGTGTAGGGCTGTACTTATACACACAGTCTTAACTGGTCCCGCCCTGTATCTCTTCTAATGTAATTTGTTTTTCGTTAGGGAATCTGGTAAGGTATAATTATACTAGTTAAAGAAACAATACCGGTAAGTTTATTACCGTTACCCAAACGGAAATTACTTTCTTACAGGCCTGTAATTTGATCGAGTCTATGGTCAAATATAAGAACACGCATCTTTTTCTTTAAAAGAGTAAATTAATTCAGCATATCGGCGAGTTAACATAAAGTAGTGGACATTGTAGATGAAGAAATGTTTGTTTTAGTATTGACAAACTTCACATCTTTATATAACAAGAAAACATTGACGTTACCATCAATTGTCGCCCGGGAAATATATAAAGTAAACAATGGAAATGAAGTGCAAGTTGGACGTTAATGGTCTCTGAAAGGCTTTTATTGAAAGCATAACATGTATAAAGACAAGACCCCTATATAACCCGTCATTTGCAATGTACTTTCACTTTCAAGTTTTAACATTTGGACAAAATAAACATCGAAAACAACTTTCCAGAGACTATCTAAGTCCACCTTGCCCTTTATTGATAAACATATTTTGTTTCTGCAAAAATGGTTTTCACTAAGAGCCTGGAATTAATTAGGTGTATTTTAAAAAAATATATGCTTTTTAAAGATTTTTTTTTCTCAATTACTATTTCTTCCAAGTATTTTTTTTATCAAGCGATACTTTCTATCTGTTAATCAATAAAAAAATAATAAACTGTAAATGTTTCAACTTTATACCTCACATATATTTGGAGTTATTGTAAAAATAAATCTTTGGACATTTGACCTTTGACGAAACCTAAAGTATATCATTAGAAGATTTTCTGGGATCTAGTTCTCTATCAGCCGAATTAAAATCATCATCATCAGTTTCATTGTTGCATTCATTGATACATTTCAAATATTTAAATACCTCTTCAATATCTTCTACACTTTTTGACTCTTTATTAGAAGAATTTAGTATTTTCAAGTAATCTAAAGTATTTGTAGTACGCAGTTGCATGAGTTTACGAGTTAGGTCAGCTTTATATTTTCTAATACATATATCCATGACTTTTTTATTACTTCTACTCGTCTCTTTAAGATTTTGTTTGTTTCTTCTGATTAACGCAAGTTATGCATTCTTTTAGCCAAGTGAAGTTTTGCATTCTCTATTAAACCAAGGTTTGTTTCGTTTTTTTATCTTTTGAATATTTACCTTTTGAAAAGATTTCAAAACTTTCTTTGGCTGATTTAGTAAATATATTACAAATTTCTTTTGTTACCTTAATAATATCAGTACTTGAAACATCATTATTACTCATTTCGATAAGGTTTCACTCAATTGATTTCACAGCTGAAATATCAATGTTATTACAAAACTCGACTTCCCTATCGGAGCACAATAATTTTACACCTGGTTGGTTTTCACACGTGGAGCAATTTTTAGGGTGCGTATCATTACCGCTACATTTTCAAAATTTTCATTACCGCTACTTAGTCATTACCGCTACAAAAAACCTTACGTTACCGCTACATAAAAAGTATACATTACCACTACATTGCTTCTTTCGTTAGCCAGCCACTTATGCGTGTACAGTACAACCTATAAATGTACATGCATATATGTGCAAGACCCATTCCTCCTGCTCACCACGGAGAAGTGAAAGTAGGACTTTGAACTGGATGTTGGTTTTTTTTTTAATTAAAATCAACTAATAATTCGTCGAGGTCTGTTTTGCAGCTGCTTTTGCAACTCTTTTCAACGCATTTCCACAATTTTGAGGGTTTTTTTTAAGTCTTTTTATTCTAAATATATAAAAAAAACACTAAGTAAGCCGGTATTTCCTCGATTTCTAACAAATTTCTCAATGGTGGTCAAAATGTTCAGATGACGCTAAAGGATTAAATTCCGACTGCAAAATTTTTTTATACATATGTACTCATTCTGATTAGATAGTTAGTGAATTATGTTGATTAGATTTCATGTAAACCGAACTATACCCGGCTAAATCGATATGTAGCAGTAATGAGTTGTTTTTGGCTGATTCAGTATGTAGCGGTAATGAGTTTTTTTTACTGGAAAAATGTAGCGGTAATGATCGGTCGAAAATATGACAAAATGTAGCGGTAATGAGTTGAAATTTTTGGCAATGTAGCGGTAATGTTGACCTCCCAATTTTTAGACATTGAACAGGCAATCGCAAGTTCTCGGGCCTTTCCGACTTACGGAAAAACGACCTCGAATGTATATGGTAGACGCCATTACAACCCTCCCTTTTCATTATTTTTTGCAATAAATGCATGGAGACCTTTTATCTGTGGAATATGGAGTTTAACTTTATTCAATGTAGTGATATTACCTAAAATATACAAAAGAAGGGACTTCTAACTCACTCAATCCTATATTTGAATAAACAGGAAATGTATAAATTTTTAACATCCAGTAATGTTAATACATTTGAGGTTGTTTTTCCGAGCTGTGACGGAAAGACCCGAGATGATGCGATTGATTGAACAGGTAGACAAAGAAAAAGATAAAGGATTATGTACATAGGGTAGGATGGGGCCACAATGGCCGAACACAGTTTTACATAGAAATAAATAGGGAAAAATTTTAAAATCTTCTTTATAATATAATTACGCACACATCACGATTAATCGGTAATTATTATCCCTCTCTGCATTTTGGTTATTTCTCTCATCCAGATAATTTTCGGTAACTTTACTACTCCATAAAATTATCGGTATTTTTCTCTTCCAATCACTTTCCAGAACTTAAATACTGAAAGAAAATATGTTCACTGCAAAATCATTGTTAATAGACGATTTTCTTTTTTTCCAAACATTTGTTTTCCAGACTTATAACAATCAACAGCTGATAAGTAGGACAGCTGCCAGGGATGGGGCCCTGACTAAGCAGCTCCTTCTATGACAATGCATAATAATGATCCCTACAGCACCTCGCAGGGTGCTTTATTATTTGAATACAAAGACATAATTCTACATGATACATATAGTAAATCAAATAATATATGTATATACATGTATAAATATGGAATCAGTTTTGGTGAAAATGTGACAATAAAATGTAAAATTAAAATTATGATAAGATCATCGTTTTGTTATTTAAATCTGTACTGAGGAAAACAGGTAACACTTAATCGAAGTCTGTAAGCATATCTTATGTTAATTTTAAATTTCAATTGGAATTACTCTTATCATTTCTTAAGAGTTGAAAGATTGATTTCATTTCTTTCCTGAAATCATTCAAAAATATTGAAGCTGTAATATTGTTATTTTCATACTTAATGCTGTTTCTTGTTTTCCATAGTGACCACTTGTATATATAAATCAAAGTGTTAAAACAAATTCGAACATTTTTGGGTTCTCCAGCGAATCCCAATAAAACATACATACATCAACTTTGATTGAATTTACTACAGGAATTTTATCGTAATATTTTGTAGCACTTCTAGAAGTGGTTTGACATGATTATATTCATAAAATAAATATTTCTGACTCTCAATATTTGATTTACAGAAAAAAAAAATTACCATTTGATTATCCCTTTTTGCTTAATTTTTCTTTAGTGTATAAGACGTTACGCAAACATTTCCATTAAAATTCTTGAATCTTTTGTTTAAACTTACTTCATAAATTGAGCCCCCAATTTTTTTTTCCATATAATTTCAATTTGCATCATTTTCTTCCATGTTTCTTGAGATTTTGGAGTGATATTTTTGTTTAGTACTCTTTGTATACCTTTGAGTTTTATATTTTCAAAATTGATGAATTTGTTTGTTTTTCTTAGAAATAAAGAACTATCACACAACACAAAATAACTATTTATTTCAGTATCTATTCTATACAGTATTTCTCCTTTAAAGAATGTCAAGATAGGTCTTAGGTATAGCAGTTTTTTTTAATGTATTCACAAATTCAACTCCTTTTATGAAGAAGTTTTGATAATATATAAGCATTAGTCTTAAAAGTCTTAGTATCGTTATCCCGAATATCTACAATAATTGGTAGATCACATATGAAAAAAGACTCTATATATAGGCTTTTGCATCGAAATTGTTTATATTTATTTCCAAAAATCTGACATTTCAAAATTTTATCTTTGCTTTCTGGCGGAAAGTGTGATCTAAATTCACTGTATGCCAATATTGCATTTTTATAAAATGTGGGTAGTTTATTGAGAGAAATGTTCATAAGGTCAGAGCAATTGCAAATAAAATATTCCAGTTTTGCATAAATGTCTTTACTTTTAACCAGAGTTTTCCATTCCAGTTTAGCATTCTAGTTTTCAAGTTCAGAGTGCATTATTTGTTTTAATTTGTTTACTTTTAATAAATGTAAATAAATTTATCATGTTTAATCTCCCCTTAGCTTTACTAAGGTGGTTAACATTTCTATCTACTTTGTTTACTTTCTGATCCCATTAATAAGACCAGATAATGTCATTAAATTTTTTACTGTAAATATCTGGTATGCCTCTCATTTCAATTTCATAACCAATAATAGGGTTTAAAGGGTTTTTAAAATATTAATGTTTTTCCTTAAAATGTCTAATTTCTAGTTTTCCAAATATGAGGACTATTGGTTATTTTTTTTCTATTATTTCCATCTATATAGCTTAAATATCAATATCGTAACCGTGGTTCACACTTAAAGTTTTAACATGTGTTGTGGTCCACTGAATTTTATTGAATTTAGGTTTTTACCCTTTGATTTTTCAATGTATAAGCCTTTTGTATTAGCAAAATTTATTTTTGCACCTGAAATATATGTAAACGTGCTTATAGGTCTCAATAAAGTAAAAGAAACTTATCCATCAGCAAATATAAGTTTCAGCACGATTATTCCTAGGAAAGGTAAGCGTGCTGTGATAAAAAAAATTAAATGAAACAACAAACAATTTGAACATCTTCCTGAAAAAGAAGCTCTGCGATAAGGATCACAGAACTCAGATGATTGACACATACAGTCTTTTCGTAAATGATCAAGGTAACGCGATAAAATCACTGTACGATCCTACCGATCCAAGTGGCGTGCACATAAGCAGAAAAGGTGCTGAAGAAATTGTGATGGCCTTTCTGGAGCAAAAGGAAACTTCGGATGACAGTGAACCTCAGACACCAAACATGTCAAAACGAAAATTAAGTTCGCGTTCACCATCCTCCGCGGCGGAGAAACAAGGCATCTGTCACAAAGTGTAGTATATGTAGCAAATGTACGTGAACCATACACATTCTATTGTTATCAGCAAATAATCTAACTTCGTGATCTCCGAAGTGTGTTCGTTTGGGAAGGGTTGATACACAGTTTAAGATTTGTAGGTATCTTGTTCCGGTTTCAATACTAGTGTTTTTAATTGTGCCTCGTTTTATTGAATCAGACACTACCTGTCCATAGACAATCATTTTGGTGACAATGAAGGAATCGTCTAGTTTGACTGGGGCAACTTTAATAGTAATATTTGTTATTTGTTTCTCTACATCAATCAGAGTGATGCCTCTGTTTTAGACCGTCAAATCCGACTATAGAAGATTTTCCTCAACCTGACAATCTCAAGAGTAGTTATGTAATTATGCAATCATTTTCGGTAATTTGAACAGCTTTAATGTCATTGTTTTCTACTTTTGCAGTAAACCATCCAATATATCCTCGTGAGTTATACCCTTGAAGTATTTGTTAGAGAAGTGTAGACACAAATGCCTCGATACTTTTGACATACTGAGTAGTGTTCAATGACCTGTTCATCGACTTGTTTTAGATATGCGAATCGTTATGCAAGCTAAATGCTAAAAAATGTACTTTCACTATACTTGCACACTATTGGGACGAACACCTATTTATTCTCAGGCATGCATCGCTCTGGAAGAAAGAGTGCCAAGGAAAAATTAAAACAAATAATACTCGGAGCGATAAAAAATAAGTGTCGACCATGACAAGGGCTATAATAGACGATTTTCTTGTATGTTAGTTTATTTAAGATTGCATTATATCCCTTTGCTTGGATGAGTCTTTATATATTTCATAAAACTTATTTTTCAAAATCACATTATTTTTCTCTTTCAGTTCTTCCTTTCGATTGCAAAGACATCCTTGACATTGGTTACAATAATTCGGGGATGTTCGATATTTATCCAAGCTGTTCGAGTCCAGGGGCTACCAGTGCTTACTGCGATATGCAAACTATGAATGGAGGGTGGACGGTAATAATTAGATCTTACAATACTGTAAAATACTGTAAGATCCTGAAAAAATACTGTAAGATCCTGAAAAAATACTGTAAAATATTGTAAATACTGTAAAGTACTGTAAAATCCTGTAAAAACTGTACAGTTCTGTTAAATACTAGTTAGTGTCTTGCTTGCTTGCTTGATTGATTGTTTGTAAGCCTGTTTAACGTTCCTTTGAGAACATTTCACTTATACTTAGATTCCTGTGGCAACGCACTTTGAAAAATTAGTTTCAAAGTCCGCTTAATTTGGGCAAAATTATGACACGTTGAAATTTATTTTTTAAAGTGCATTCTGTATGGAAAAAAATCAACCACCTTTTTTATTCTTTCAAAGAAAATTAGTAGTGAACAACCTCTTTTTTGAACAGTACAGTGGTCCGGTAAATGAAAAGTAGTAAATTAAAGCCTTTACCTAGGTGATTTCCGGGGCTTACGCCAAAATTTAGTCCAGCGTTATTGCGTTTCACCAAGTGGAGTAAGTCTAGTCGTAAATGATACGCTGAGTCGCAGGACAAAGTCTTTCACAACGTTCAACTGCACGGGCACAAAACAAAAACATTGTCCTGTATAAATTATAGAACGGTAGAGTACAGAATAAAACAAGGCGTTTATCTATAATATCTCATACTGTACAATACAACTATCATATGTGTGTGAATGCATTGCCAAAACGTAAGATCGAAGAAATATATGTAAAAGCAATTTCCATCTCAAAGAAATACTGTTCGTTATTTCCATATCCTTCCTTTCCTTATTAAATTATTAAGTTCGTTATTACTCCAATCAACAACGTCTCCAACCAGTTATTTTTATCAAGTGATATATACTTTCTATATGTTAATCAATGTGAAAATTTGAAAACTGTAAAAGTTTTAACTTTATATCTCACATAGTTTTGGGGCTTAATTGTAAAAATAAAATTTTAGACATGCTGACCTTTGACGAAACCTTAATATTAACTTTACGCCCGATCTTACGCCTAC